ATTTTGTAAAATTGACTTTTTCATGCGTCTGTCCTGCTATTGACAATGAATTTTCTCATAACATTGTCAAAGTAGTCTGCTGATCCACTCAGCTATCATCTCATAGATCCACAGCTACTTTGACAATGTTATGACAAAATTTATGATCAATAACAGGACAGACGCATGAAAAGCTGACGTCAATTTGTTAAATGTTTAGTGCATAGGACTTAAGCAGAGAGTTGCAATTACAGAAGCACAGCTCCGGCAAGATACTTTGTTTCCAGTGGCAGTATAGAGAATTGTTGGGGACCTGTTACGCTAAGGTGCTGTGTATCTGAGATTGAAGTTTTCCATGATGGGAGGGGTATGCTAGTCATACCTCTGATTGCATTATAACTTCTATGGAAACTGTGCTTGGAGCTCGAGTTAAATGATGAAAATGAGGGCCTCTTGTGACCAAGATCAACCATTTAAAGATAGAAAGGGAACACTGGCCGAGGGTTGTAACATGAGAAGGATTGTAACAAGATAAACGTGTGGCATGCCCTGATCCCTTCTCTTCCATACCGCCCTTTGTGTACGACCTAACCCTAGGAGAAAAGACCAGTTAAGAGCAAGATTCTATCTTAAGTGAATCTTTTTAATGTTCATCTCCTCAACAGCTTGCTACAAAGTGTGATATTTTAGTAGAAAACTACCTGCCAGGAAAACTTGACAAGCTGAATTTAGGATATGATCAGCTCAAAGCATCTGTGCCCTCCTTGATATATTGCTCCATAACAGGATATGGACCTGGGGGACCTTACGATCAGAGGCCTGGATATGATGTCATGGTGTCAGGTGTTGGTGGACTGATGTATATAACGGGCCCTGAGGTACCTCATCTAAATGCTCTTGATCATGTGATTTTCATGCTTCATATGAATTAATTGATATACCATATAAATACACCATATATTAACGTAATTTGACCAGTTGGTCCTCCCGGAGCAAAGATCAGTTTTGGTCTCTCAAGCTCCAGCTTTTTTTTAAANAAATTAAAATATGAAAAGCCTTTTTATCAGATTGGCGTCTTTTTATCACTTGCAAGCCTTGCAAACTTGTTAGTTCTCCCAAAGCAGCAAAGATGAAAGAAATAGGTTACTGCAGACCTTCTAGAGGTGCCTTGGGAAAAATATTCATTCTGATAGTAAAATACAATAAAAATGCACACGATTTATTTCCGAACATGCACTTTGGTAGAAATGTTGATTAAATGTTCCTACCACAATGTTCTCCATAGTGTTGTAGTTATTTGAAACTGAATTGCCTTTAGACACTGTACTTGAACCTGAAAAATACGAGGGACGTACGTCTTTATTCTCAGTGTACTGTACGCGTAGGTCATCTGTTGTTCCTTAGGCTTTTAAAACTCAAGATGGATACGTCTTGGTTGGTGCTGGGAATGATGGCTTGTTTAGAAAACTTTGTAAAGTAAGTTGAATGTGTTTTTATTGGCTAATGGGGAAGGTAATACAGGTTGTTTTTCTTTCTCGCTCATCCTCTTGATAAAAGTTAAACTCTTTGTGTTTTGTCCAAGAAAGAGCAAAATGCAATGCGCGAGATGCGCAAAATGACGCGTACTGTCTAATCACATTGTCCAATTACAAGCATGACAGACAGACAGACAGACAGACAGACAGCCGATGAAAAATTGAAAGTTCTGCCGCTTGTGGGGTCGAGCAAAAACATTTTAAATACACTCTCCTGTTTGAGCTCAAATTGAGCCTGTTGNGACAGACAGCCGATGAAAAATTGAAAGTTCTGCCGCTTGTGGGGTCGAGCAAAAACATTTTAAATACACTCTCCTGTTTGAGCTCAAATTGAGCCTGTTGACAGCCAATCTGATTGGAATTCTTTTTATAGTTTTGGTTAAAAACTAATCGTTTTCTTTGGTTGTAGTTATTACGTTTAGATCATTTGGCCGATGACCCGTTATACTCTTCAAATGCGGCGCGAGTTAAAAATCGCAAGGAATTACTTGCTATCCTAGAAAAAAGGTTGGTTAGTTTAATTGCACTTAACATAGGCTCAACATAAAAACTTAGTAAACTGCGACTTTGAGTTGTGTTAATTTGTGCAAGTTGTTCCCCCCCAAAATTGTATCTTTGGGGATATAGATATTTCCTGGTGTATTGCTTCTGATCTACAAGGCTTCTAGAAAACATTATTAACCTTGCGATAGCGAAGCACTGATATCCGTTCGTGTTATATTTCCTCGTCGCAAGTTTTTATTTGGCGTGTAAACAAAGGATCTTGTTAGCATTAGAACTGCGCGTGCGTTCTTTGAGTTCGTCAAACAATTTTTTCCAGGGCCTTAGCCAGAAAAAATTACGACTGAGGCAATGTCCAAAACGGAAAAAATGACTGAGCCAAGTGCCTCGGTTTGCCTCATACTGGCTACGACGGCTACGGCTCTGTTTCCTTTAGCAAGTGTGAGGAGGAGACGGGCTCCTGTGGAGCCTAATCAAAGTCCCGAGGGGGGGGGGCTCCCATGTTAAAAGGTCAGAGATGCTCGTCGTCTCGCTCAGGAGTGATAATCACGGATTTTGGTCTCACTTAGGTTGTACAGCAAGAAAAGCCACTATTTTTAGCTGTCAAGATTCCTTGTTGGGTTGCACTGGATTAGCCTGCAGAACGGGCGGATTAGCGGGGCAGCGAGCGAAACGCTAGAGCGAAACGCGATACACGAGCGCGGATTTTTTTCGTCTCGCGCTCCGCGCTCGTGTATCGCGTCTCGCTCACTGCCCCGCTAATCCGCCTGTTCTGCAGGCTACACTGGATTAAGGCGGGGGTTAACGTGAAGGCCATATTTTTGCTGGGTATTATGNTATTTCCTCGTCGCAAGTTTTTATTTGGCGTGTAAACAAAGGATCTTGTTAGCATTAGAACTGCGCGTGCATTCTTTGAGTTCGTCAAACAATCTTTCCCGGGGCCGTAGCCAGACAAAATTACGACTGAGGCAATGTCCATGGTTCAATTCTCTTGCTAGGTACTTAGCGGTGTTTTACTTTCCCCCTTCGAAAAAGAAAAAAAAAAGACGAAAAAAATGACTGAGCCAAGTGCTTCGGTTTGCCTCATACTGGCTACGACGGCTACGGCCCTGTTTCCTTTTAGCAAGTGTGAGGAGGAGACGAGCTCCTGTGGAGCCTAATCAAAGTCCCGGGGGGGGGGGGG